ACAATTGATGTAATTGCATAGAAATGAATTAATTAACGTGTAAAGCGCATGTAAAATCATATATAATTTTAATATATACATTGTGTTCAATGCAATAACTGACATAATAGTTTTACGACTGACTTGCGCAAATATTTGTTCTGTTCAGATTTTATATGAATGAGGCCTGTTGTGTTTATCAGTATATTTAAGTGCTTTTTTATTGAAGTGTTTACTTTTAAAGTTTGGTGAGCTCAGATATTTACCATGAAGAGATATTTGGGTTTCTGTAAGTACAGCAGTCCATAACAATATTTTAGGAGCCCATAGCAACTTAACTGAGTTTAAAGTCAGACACTATCAATATTTGTATCATCTGACCCAGAATGACAGACATACTGTTGTCCCTTTTGCCTTGAAATCACAAATGCATTATCACAGGCTTTTTTGAAATGGACAGACTTTCTGTTTTATACCCCTCACGTCAGGCTCTCAAGTCAAACTCACATGGTCATGGTAGACTGTCAAGCGTACCCGATGGTGGCTGCCAGCCAATCAATGTGAAGAATCAGTCAGATGGGGTCAGAAAGCCTTTTGTTCACTCTGCTCTGTTATTCAGCATGTCTAATATGTGTAAGTTCCCCTGTGATTGCATTTATGATGCATTTCTGTGTTTCCACGAAACATAAAATGACAGTTGGTGTGGTCTGGTGTTATAAACATTCAACATGAAGCATTTGGTTTTATATTGAAAGACCTACAGATAGAGAAGTGGTTTGTCTTGGCTGTCAGCCAATTACCTGAGCCTCTTTACCTGGGGATGATCCAGCTTTATTAGGTAATCCACTGCATAATAGAAAAAGTCAGGAGAGGTCCCTGACATGCCCTCTACGCAACCCAACAAAACTGTGCGGTCACAGAGACCTCGAGCTAATAGCGGATATGTTCAAAGACTACTTGAGAATCCGGAAAATTCAGATAATGTGTTTATTTGTTCACGTGACATAATTTACAATATATGTGCGGTAGTATTCAGTAAATAAGATGATTGGATATCAGTCCCATGCACATTCAATCCAAATGACACAGTAGATATTATTATACACAAGCATAACAAAATGCGCAAACCATCAACCTGAGATGAGATTTACTCACTTTTGGCCTCTTCAGTCTGGGATTTAGAGGGTTTGACATTATTTAGACTGCCATGGCCCCTGTTATTGGATTAAAGGCCTTAACTGATTTTTCTAACAAGCGGATATTGCATAAGATTTTATTTTTTTCAATGCATTTACTACAGTTCTCCATAGGTTATTATATATACACTTGTTTTTGTTGGTGCCTGTTATTTTTCCTAAAGCAGAATGACCTATTTTTGATATCCGCGGTTCATTCACTAGTTCAGATGTTACCACTGTCATCAAATTCTCCAAAGATCAGAAAAAGAGACTTTGACCTTACGAATTGGGTTTGTGCTTTCTGCCAGAGGAGATATCTAGAGGCTTCAGTAGTCTGCTTTAAATAAGCATGGTATTTAAAGATTAAAACGGAGTGAATCTCAGGAGCTGCTCTCCCATCAAACTCGCTTCAAATCTCCTTATAGGTTTACATGTTCAAGTACTGACCGTTCCCTCTTGCCTTGTAATGGCATAGTGTACTTTCTTTAAAGGGGTCATATGATGCTGCTAAAAATAACATTATGAGACTTTAGTCTTTGCAACTTTACAGATCTTCTTTATGCACCAGGAGCTTGTAACACTCCAAAGAGAAAGGAAAAATTGAAATCGCATCATATGACCCCTTTAAATATTCCCTGACTTTTTGTACGTCTTGCTCGTGTCTCCATAGAATACCACTTAAAAATAATTTAAACGTTTGGTATAAACAAATACCTCTATGTTATCAATTGATATTCTATGTAAAACACTCGATGTTACACTTTCAATAATACATAATGTTTGAAAACTATGTGTGATGCTTAGGTATCATTAAATGATTAAAAGAACAAACATCAAAGTTCTGGTCATAAATGTTCTCCACAGCCATTTCACATTCTCAGCTTCATCTTCTTTAAAGAACAAAAAAAGTAGAAAAGATGTCTTGTATTGTAACTATCTAAACACATCTGCGACAAGCAGATGCAAATGCAACAAGCGGTTAACGCTGCAAGCTACAAGATCTTGAGCCTTGGCAGTGTCATCTTTCCTTTTAACAACTCGTAGTCATTGTGCAAGACTTGTAGCATTAGATCTTTGTACATTTTACAAAGCACTTGCTAATAGCATTCAGCTCTTATTAAAATGAGTTGGTCCTTTAATCCTAAATAAGTAACTGATATTTTTTAAAATATATTTTCAGTAGTTTAAAGGTGAAGTGTGTAATTTTATGTGAAGTTAAAATGCTTTCAGCCCAGTTTAATATGTAGAGACAGCTATAAGAAAGCCATTTGTAAGTTGATTTTACAAAAAAAGTGTAATGCTGGGTCTGTTCAAACATTAAGCAACCCGACAACAGCAAAACCAATGGTGTTTGTTTGGGGTTGGGGCTATCTGTTTGTTTGACCAATTACAAATGAGGGGTGTGTTGAGAAAACCTGTTTGAAAGCAGTCAGTATTTTTGCAATTCCCATTTGGTGTTAGACATTACACACTTCACCAGTGTGATTTAGTGAATCATCAAAAGAATAAACATCAAATTAGATGTTTCTATGATCAGTTTACAGAGAAGCTAAACCACGTGATTCTTGAATCATTCGAGGAGTTTGATATTTTGAGAAATTAGCAACTGGTAAGAAAGTTATTCATCCATATTGCTGTAATTCTTAATGTTTTTGCTGTTTAAATTACATACAACAGTCTTGAAAACTGTTATGGACTCAAAAGCCATACTCCAAGTAAGCTCTGTGAACTACAGCACATTAAACAGTCGTGTTTTGGCCACCACTGTGTGGCAAATGTAGTAGTTGCATCTGCAGTACTTCCTCCGGCGTAGTTAGTTGTTAAACGATACAGTCAAGGTGAATTCAACGATTAGGTACACGCTTGAAATTGTCTACAATGGTGCACTAGGCTGGCACCCCATCAGAAAGAACATCTGACAGGTACAGTTCTTCCATTTCTGGTGAATGCCTACGTGTTCACTTGGAGAAGGTACATCCGAGGAAATGAGACCGAAAGCTGGTGAAAATGTAGTGATCCTAGGAGCACGTTTCACCTCCATCTACATACTGGCCCAGGCTTTTCTGTGGCTCTGAATATTTGTCAGATGATGTTTAAAATATGGTGCAGGTTTTGGGCTTTCCTCCCTCTCCACCTCCATCCTCACCAGCGGCTTCAGTGAAGAAGAAAAAAATAGAAAAGAGAAAATCAAGTTACTGCAAGGTTATGTCATGTACATTCCCCAAGGCTATGAGGTCAGATTAGCACAGGGTGTCCCATAAACACTCTCAGAAAAAAGGTACCCTTTCAAAAAGTGCAAATATATACCATTTGGGTACTATTATGCACCCTTTAGGGATAAATAATGTACAAAGGTGTACCACCCCAGTGACAGCTTCTGTATCTTTTTTCTGAGAGTGTAGTGGGCATCCCTTGTCATTTTCTGATCCATTTCCCTCATAATTTCCTTTCCTTAATCTACTATCCCCGTCTATAAAAGTGCCAAAACGGACCAAAAAAAAAAGTCAGCTAATGGGTCCGACTTACATTTTTTAGCCTGCTCCTCTTCTAGTCGCTTTCGTTCATTCTCCAAAGTGTCTACTTTTGCTTGGTGAATATCAGCCAATTCCTTCCAGTGGACCCTGTTGTTGTTCAGGCCATCAAACATGGGAGTGATCTCTTTGTGGAACCTTGAAAATTCCTGTATGAGAAAAGAGGCCTGTTACTGCAAGCATTCACAAGCCCATCAGTAACTGCCGATCCATCATTCCCTGTCAGAACATTTAAGCAATGTTGTTTTTACATTCCAGGAGAGGCCATTATGGACAAATGCCCCATTTTCTGCTTACACGCATGTCTGTGTTGTGTAAAAGCGAAATTTATTCCAGCTTGACAGCTGGATGGATTTACCTTGTACACAAACGAGCACACAAAGTCAATGAAACCACACGGCATCTTCGGAAGTTCATCTGACTTGTTCCTGTCCATCATGGGCTGAGAAAAGATTCAAAGGATACATATTCTCATTCAGGCACTAGTTTTCTCACAATGCAACCAACTGAATGCAACCTTTCAAAAAGCAAAACTTGGTGAAATCGATCTCTACAAACTCACAATGGGCTGTTGGTCTAGCACAGTCCTCTCCAGGTCTCCCTGCTCCCAGAATTCAGCTGCCACCATGAGAGCCACCTTTAGAAAAGAGTGTCTTTAGCTGATAATAAACAGTGGACTATCTTTTAACCCAATGCTGGATAATCCTGACTATGCATAACCAAAGTTGCACCTACTTTGCTCTGGACCTCCCATGGCTTGGTAATGGCGGACAAGTCACATCCAGTCATCATCATTGCCCTGTTTGGAAGCAAACACGTCTTCAAACGCTCAATTCAGTATGTTCTCAAGTAGCAGGGTTCTACTGAGAAGTGATGCTTACATAATGATTTCCTTCCTAATGGGATTGTTGGCCACATAGGCAATCGCTTCCTTCTCATCAGCCATTGGTTCGGTGGCATCAACGATCTTCTGGAACATGGTCCTTTTTCTGGGTTGGGGAAGAAAATGGGACCATCATCAGTACAATATGTTCAAGAGTGGCTCTACTTTAGGTGAAGACATGCTCTTGAGCACTTACTTGAAATACAAGGCCAGGTCAGTCGCAATGATACAGACATCATGCAAGTGCTGGACTGTCTCAAACTGGCGTTTCTGCAGACTTTGGAAAATGTTAACGTTCTGTAAAAGAGCCAAAAAAAAATAAAGTTGACCTGGTTATCATATTAAACCCTGGAACACTTTGTGCTTTGCAACACAACAAACCTCTTCTGCCATCAGCGTCTTGCTGTAATCAAGATGGTGCCTTTCCAATATGGAGGAGCCATGGAGCTTGGCCAGTGGTGATGTGCTCCTACATTGGAAATGGATTGTGAGTAAAATGTCTTCTGTGCCTTTTCTGAAAATATTAGTAGTAAAAATATATATACTAAATTACTTTGTCTGGTAGAGATTGTTGGTACCCCTGTGGTCAATATCGTGACAGAATGCAGCCGCTACCATCGCAAAGGCATCAAGGTCGGAGTAGTATTTTCTCAGCTTTCCAGTCTTTTGGGCAAGCAAACAATATTCAATATCACAACCTCTTTGGTGGTAAATAACATGATGTGTGGACTGAAAGACTCACTTGCAGAAGACAGAACATGGTCTGGCCCACGTTAAATCCGTGCCTCCAGTTATGGTAGGTGATATCTCTGTAACCTTTTCGTACGGTGTACATCCATCTTGTCAGGACCTGGAGCAAGAGTAGACAGCATTAAAATCCCAAAAAGTTTCACCCCAAAACTGAAGGAATGTCTCGCTTTTGATTGCATAAATAATACATGAAAGTCCAGTAACAGTTGACATGTAATTCTTTATCTTCAGATTTGTTGCCAAACAGTTGGCCCAGATTTTTTTCCATGAAATAATGAAAATGCAATACATGGAAGTTTGTGAATGTTGGACATTTGATTTCTGTGGAAATCTGCTGAGCTTTCTGTGTGAGTCTGGTTATCGCTAATCACCTGCCAAAAATAAACACAGGCTCTAGTAATAAGATGAGTGCTACTTGGAAAATTAGCCTTAAGGGGTCGTTGTGCTACACTTCCATTCCATACTCATGTGAATGCTGAAGACCGGCAATACAGACGACTTCAGAATTAAAAGCACCCAAACTTTAAGGCTGCAAATTTGTAGTGTTGCAGAAAATTGGAGTAGATTGTATATTTTTATATTTTGGATTTATTATTATTTGTTAAATAGATGTGTTTAAATAAGACGCCACAGAGCATGACATCACATCAGGGCCGTTGCACTGTTCAAAGAAATTTTTCGAGCTCAAAGTATACAGTAGTTTGACCGCCCCAGTGTATTATTGTGGAAATGCTCATAAAGTCCAGTCTCACCTCTGCTGGCACTTTGAACTTCTCTACCACTCCGAGTTCAAAGAAACAGCGAATGCCACACTTGATAAGGTCAACCTCAGAGAGAGGAAAGTCGCTAAAACTAAATTCTAGCAGATCGACATCTTTGGCTACTGGAATGTTGGCTCTCTGTGTATTAAAATACAAGTAGATATATTAAACAAAACATCCTTCATGTTAAACATTTAAGATCAATAATATATGCACTATGAATATACTGGTTCAGAGTAAAAAAAAAAAAAAGTCATACCAAGAGTTTGTACATTTCTTTCTGATCGCAGTCCTCAGGGTTCATGTCAAACTTCTCCTTCGTGTTCTAACGAGATGAAAAACATTTAGTTAACATAATAAAGCCTGTAGTTTCTTAAAGCATAAGCTTGAATGATGCCTCACCAGAATCTGTTGGACTTCAGCTAGTGTGGCTTTGGTCTGGTACATAACCATTTCCGCTGAAATCTCTCTTCTCCATTCCGTCCGATTCAGTTTGTCATACGTGTCACAATTCAGTACAGACCATCCTAGGAACTGTGTTAGGGCCTGAAATAAAG